AGCAACAATTCATTGCAGTTTGCAGAAACCAGAATTATTGAGTTGGGCTAGGGCTAGAAAAGAAACTACAACAAATGGTGGCTTTCATTTTATGAGAGGTCCACATTACATAATAGTTGGGCTACCAACCTTCGTGTTGACAGAGAATGTTGTTAATTATGCGTCTACGCTTTCCATTGATAAATACTTTATTTGCTACAACTCTGTCATTTTACTTTTTTATATTGATTATTTACTTCTATCACATCTAAGATGTAAAATTGAAGTAAAAAAGAAATGTTATAAAATAATTAATTTGTATTAAAAATTATTTTAAGAGTGAGCATGTGTACTAAGTTTAACTTTATATATATATATACACATACAAACTTGTATAGTAAGAAAATAATAATAGGTGACAAAATGTGTTTGATCCCTAAACCCATTTAACCATTTTTTTAGGTGATGTGATTGTGAATCATAATTCATAAATATTCAACACAGTAATCTATTGGGCTTGTCTCGTTTGGGCTTATCATAACATAGTTGCAGTTGGACAAGATGGGCCAATTCACTGCACCAACAAGTCTTTTTTCTAAGATTAGGTAAAAGGCAACAACAAAACAGTGCAAGGGTTTTTTCCATGTTCGTATAAAAGTGGAGTTGTGTTTATAATCTAATATTTTAATTTAGGAGATGGTCAACAAAGATAAATACGTCTTTCTGTTAGTTTTATTTATTTATTGATAATTATACATAAAACAACTATAAGAGCTAGATGAAATAATACAGGTAAAAACTATTAAGGACATGAGTGAAAAGGAGAGTAACCAATATTTAAGTTTTTACATATACATCTCTTCTCTTCTTCTTTTTTGAGAAAATTTTATTTGAGACATGATTAGATACTTAAATATTAGGAGTATCAAATGGTTCGAGGCATAATTGCGATATATTAGAAATTATTGTAAATTTCTTATGTTTTTAAATCTTGTTTAAAGTTAAATTTCATAAATTTTACAAATAAATGATTTTTAATTAAGTTGATAAATTTATTTATTTTTTCTTTATTTTTAAAAAATTACATAAGAAAGGGTTTTGGAACGAGTCAAGTTTAAAAAACAAAATTTGCTTAAATAAACCTATTTTGGGTTATTTGAATGAGGTCAAAGAAAGAGTTTTTAAACAAATAGTCACACTTAAACAATAATTATTCAAACTCAAGCAAGACTAAAGAGGAGAATTTTCATCATCAAGCCACAATTAAGTGTTTATGAACTCTTAAATTATTTATTAAAACTCTAGCACATCTTAGTGTCAACAAGACACAACCTTGAAACTCAATATTTAAATTACAAAGATTTATATTTGGAAAAATAACTCTAACTTAAACGAATTATTTTGGGTAGTTCTTAAACAAGACCAAAAAATTAGCCATGCTTAAGTGAGAAGTTCCCAAGTTCAAGCAAGCCAAACTAAAAAATTCGAAGCCTAGCTTGAGTGAATCACTTTGATGTGCTTAAGTGTGATGTTAATGAGACTCATTATTTCTAGTGATAGATAAAAGCTTAACAAATGAGTAATGACTTATCTCTCATTTCAACAAACTCTTCTTTGAAAAGAGTAGTGACAACAAAGCACTTCCATGACATCCAAATTCATTTTCTCCATCACTTTTTGTATTCTTTATGACTACGAGTAGCTAAATTTACTCTTGTTGGAGGCAATGTAGCTAGACCAAATTCATATACTCTTTAAAAGTATTTATTAAAGTTTTTATTTAATTAATTGTTCTTTCATTCTTCTCTTAATATTTTTTTAATTTGATCACCATACATGTGATTTTATGGAATTAATTATTGTTGAGAACTTCTTTTAAAATTATAAACAGAAAGGAGATCCTAATAAAACTTTTGGCTAAAGATAATGTAAGATTTATTAGTCAAATCTTTTACCTCTAATCTAAATGCAAAATCCTTTATTAAATTTTTACCAAAATTATAATTTTAAATTGAAGAGAATTTGACTTTTTCACCCAAAGAGTTAGGGTTAAAATACTTTTATTAGTCATTAAATTAACTACAAATAGAAAGGAGAACCTAATAAAACTTTTGACTAAAGATAATGTAAGATGTATTAGCTAACTATTTGACTTCTAATCTAAATACAAAACTCTTTATTAAATTTTTATAAAATTAAAATTTTAATTAAAAAGAATTTGACTTTTTCACCTAAGGAATTAAGTTTAAAATGTTTTTATTGGTCATTGAATTAATAAGAATTATTGCATGGTACATGTGAGAGCCCAAAGCTTTTATTCATATTAATTACATCTATTTTTTCTCCAGTTTTATTCAATTGAAAAACCTAAAAGTATTCCTTTATTATTTTTATTTAAATTCTTGCCCTCAAATTTTAAATACTCTTTTTCATATAGATAAGACAGAATTAAATTTGTCTATTATTACATTTAAGTTTCTTTAAATATGATATTTGGACTTTACACATTTTATTATTTGTACGTTTTGGGTATACTTACCAAATTCTTAACACCAACCAAATTCAATCCACCCTACGACAAGTTGTTTGTGAATTTTGTAACTTTATATACTTTCTATCAAAATTTAATCAACATATATGGAAGTTGCGATTTGAAAAAAATACAAAGATAAGTCCTGATTTATCCAAAAACAAAAAATAGAAGAAATGATTTAAAATATAACTTGTAATAAACATGTGAAGAGCATACCTTATAAGTCACCGATATTTTGATTCTTAAAAATATAATTTTTTTTTTAAAATATCCCAATTCTAAACTTTAAAATGTTACTCACTTATTCTAAAATTAAAAAAAAAAATGTGTTTTAATATATATATATATATAAGTATTAAAATCATGATAAATAATTAAATTTAGACAGTTAAATAAAATAATTAAAACTTTAAAAGAATTATTTAAAATTTTGTTACTTTCAATCTTTCAGATATCAAAGTGCGAACAATCTGTACTTGCATGTTTTAAAGCTTATAAAGAAAATAATAAAAAGATAATTTGAATAGGTTGTTACTTAGAAAATATTAATAGTTATTTTATTTATTTTTTTCTTAACAAAAAAATATAATAATCCTCTAAAAATAAAAATAAAAAACAATTATTCACTGTATATATATTTTTATAATAAATATAGATTTTCATTTATTATTAAATACTATATATTTTAAGAATAATATTATACAAATTATTATATACGCAATGAATATTATGCAAATCATTTTATAATAAATTGAACTTTTATATTATTTCAACTTCACAAATTACTAATAAAATGTTAATGTATGGTTCATTGATTGATTTAATTTTTTTATTATACATATTTTAGACAGTGAAAATACTAAACTTACAAGTTTATAAAATAGATATTTCATAAATTTGTCATGTCAGTATAAAATTTATATAAATTATTTTGTTTGTCATGTGACCTAAACCTTCATTATATTTTATAGTTAATTTGTGATAAATATATTAAATAGAGACATAATTCTAGAGTCAGGCTGATTATAGATTTGAGTTAGATTAATATAGAAAAATTTAACTGATTTTATTTATAAGAAAAATTTGGCCTAATTTATCAATTTATGATAAGTTAAATTAGTTCATAAGTTGACTCACTTATATATTTATATATTTATTTTTATTTTTTAGATTTTTAAATGTTAATTTATGTTATTATATATTTATATCATTTATTAAATTTTGTACATACTAATTATGAATTATGATAATTAATATTAATTTGATATTACTTGTTAATATTTTATATAACAACTTCGATATTATAAGTTGATTTTTTTTATACATTTTTTATCTTAATTTTTACATAGTTGTAATTTTAATTATAATATATTTTTTTTATAAATTTCAATAATTTTTTTTAATTTAGTTAAACTAACCTATTTAACCCAATAACCTAGATTGAGTCAGACTGATTTTTTTATAACTCATCAATAAGTGAATTGAGTTGGATTGACTCATTTATTACTTAATTCATAGTGAGTCAAGTCAAATTATTTCCTTATCTCTAATTTATTATGTTAAGTTTAAACATAATTACATACATTTTTCTTATATTTCATTATTAAGATATAATATAAATAACATTACTCTTATTATTATTATTTTTAATTCATCTTTGATGATTACTTCAAATTGTATATATTTGATTGTCATGCAATTCTAAATGAATATTAAAATTATAATTAATATAATTATATTTTTTTTTACCAAAAATGTCACTTAATTGATAGCTAGATTGATAGCTAGAGATTAATTTATTTATATAAAAAAATAAGTATCGTGAAAATAGATTGTGTGTCTCTTAATAAAACTTTCTCTAAAAATATAATTAGAAAATCAAACTCTTATAAATAAAAAAAAAAAACTCAATTAACTAGTACAAAGAGGAGTCCTATAATATGATTATCTATCCACCTATTAGTTGATCACATCCCAAACAATGGGCATTAGAAAAAGAGTTTCCTTCTGTTCTGTCATTGTTAGTTACTTCATAAGATTGAAAATCATCCTTAAAGTCTTGATTCCCTCATTAGATGTAGCAATATATAACATATACCTTCCAGCTAAGATATTGAAAGCCCAGCGCAAGAATGACGAATTGAGGTTCATGCATGATCTGGGACCTTCCACGCTTCCCCACTCCTTATTTAATTTCTTTCTTTCCTCACACTTTATCTTTTTCTGGAAACTATACCTTTCCCATTCTTATAACTTATTATGCCTTTCAACTATAATAACAGCCACTTAGGCAAAGTATTATTATATATGAGGATCAAACTACATTCAGTGCTTCTAACCTGTAACTCACTCTAGTAATTTTTTGCGAGTCCAAGAAATTATGATTTATAATTTTGTCTTTTAAATATATATATATATATTTTTATATAAAATATTGTTCTTTATTAAGGGTTTAGAGTTTTATTGAGAAGATGAGGCATGCAATGCAATGCAAACGAGAGTAGTAGTAGAGGAGAGGAGAGGGTGTGAATCTTTGGTGATGAGGAATGGTGATGACAGGCAGATACCTGGGGCCCACATCCCATGTGCTTCTTTCTATCTTTCTAATTCCTAGGCAAAATGCAATATGCACTCTCACATCACACTCCTTCTCTAACTAAACCAAACAACAACATGTACCCTCTGGCAGCCGTCGCCATGTTGATCTTCCTCGTCATGGCAACCTCCGAAGCCGACGACACAGCAGCAATGCTCTCCCTCAAGGAAGCCCTCAACCCGCCGGGATGGTCCGACCCCAACCCCTGCAACTGGCCCCACGTCGGATGCTCCGACGAGAACCGGGTGACCCGGATCCAAATCGGGCGCCTCAACCTCCAAGGCACGCTCCCCAACGCCCTCAACAACCTCACTCACTTGCAGCACCTCGAGTTCCAGTTCAACAACATCTCCGGCCCCCTCCCCTCCCTCTCCGCCCTCACCAACCTCCGCGTCCTCATCGCCGCCAACAACCGCCTCACCGCCCTCCCCTCCGACTTCCCCGCCGCCCTCTCCCAGCTCCAAGCCCTCGAGATCGACAACAACCCCTTCCAGCCCTGGCACATTCCCCACTCCCTCCCCAACGCCTCTTCCCTTCAGAACTTCTCCGCCAACTCCGCCAACCTCATCGGCACCCTCCCGGACTTCTTCTCCTCCGACGCCTTCCCCGGCTTGACCCTTTTGCACCTCGCCTTCAACAGCCTCGAGGGAACCCTTCCCTTCAGCTTTGCTACCTCCCAGATTCAGTCTTTGTGGCTGAATGGGCAGAAGAGTGAGAATAAGCTTGCTGGGACTCTTTCTGTTCTGCAGAACATGACTTTTTTAACCGAGGCTTGGTTGCATTCAAATGCCTTCACCGGCCCCTTGCCCGATTTTTCCACCTTCAACAGTTTGCAGGTTTTGAGTTTGAGGGATAACAGGCTTACCGGCCCTGTTCCGGGGTCCTTGCTGGGGCTTAAGTCGCTTAAAGTTGTCAACTTGACTAATAATTTTTTTCAGGGTGCAATGCCTGTGTTTGGGGATGGGGTTGAGGTGGACAATGGGAAGGATTCCAATAGTTTTTGTTTGCCGGGTCCTGGGGATTGTGATCCCAGGGTGGGGCTGCTTCTTTCTGTTGTCAGGTCTTTTGGGTATCCTCAGAGGTTTGCTGAGAGTTGGAAGGGGAATGATCCTTGTTCTGATTGGATTGGGATTACTTGTAGTGATGGGAATATAACTGTTGTTAATTTTCAGAAGATGGGGCTCAGTGGTGTGATATCGCCCGAGTTTGCTAAGATTAAGTCCTTGCAGAGGCTTGTGCTGGCTGATAACAATCTCACTGGTGTGATTCCGCAGGAGCTTGCTACTTTGCCTGTGCTTACTCAATTGAATGTTGCCAACAATAGGCTTTATGGGAAGGTGCCCAGTTTTAAGAGTAATGTGGCTGTGACTACGACTGGTAATGTTGATATAGGGAAGGATAAGAGCAGTGAGTCACCTCAGGGTTCGGTGTCTCCCGCGGACGCCAAGGGAGGAGATGGTGGAGGTTCGGGATATGGTGGAAGAAAGTCTTCTTCCCATGTGGGAGTGATCGTGTTTTCAGTGGTAGGAGCTGTGTTTGTTGTTTCAATGATTGGTTTCTTGGTTTTCTGCTTGTTTAGGATGAAGCAAAAGCAGTTGAGCAGGGTCCAGAGCCCTAATGCGCTGGTTATTCATCCCAGGCATTCTGGATCGGATAACGAGAGTGTGAAGATAACGGTTGCAGGTTCAAGTGTCAGTGTTGGTGGTGCTAGTGAGACGCAAACCATTCCCGGCAGCGAGGTGGGAGATATTCAAATGGTTGAAGCGGGAAACATGGTCATTTCCATTCAAGTCCTGAAGAATGTCACTAACAATTTCAGTGAGAAGAATATATTGGGACAAGGTGGCTTTGGAACTGTTTATAAAGGTGAACTCCACGATGGTACAAGGATTGCCGTGAAGAGAATGGAGTCCGGGGCGATAACTGGGAAGGGTGCCGCAGAATTCAAGTCTGAAATCGCTGTTTTGACCAAGGTTCGCCACAGGCATCTTGTTGCTCTTCTTGGTTACTGTTTGGATGGGAATGAGAAGCTTCTTGTGTACGAGTACATGCCTCAGGGGACGCTAAGTAGGCATCTTTTTAACTGGCCAGAGGAAGGATTGGAACCACTGGAGTGGAATAGAAGATTGACCATTGCCTTGGATGTGGCAAGGGGTGTTGAGTACCTCCATGGTTTGGCCCATCAAAGCTTCATACACAGGGACTTAAAACCTTCGAACATTCTCCTTGGAGATGATATGAGGGCCAAGGTTGCTGATTTTGGTCTTGTGCGGCTTGCTCCAGAAGGAAAAGCCTCTATAGAAACAAGAATTGCTGGAACTTTTGGATATTTGGCGCCAGAGTATGCAGGTATCTTTTAGTTTTTTAACTTCCCTTGACCACACTGTCTTGGCGAACTATGCCGCATTTTAATTAGTTTTCCCAAATAAACAGTAGTAGTCAATATATTTCAAGTCAATGGCTCAGTGACCTAGTAAATAGTATCCCTGGAAAAGTGTACAACAGTAAAACTGTAAAATATACTTTGATTGGCATATTTATTGGCAACTAGGATCCATGATGCTTTTAAAGTAACTGGAGACATTCATTTATTTGTAAGAAGCTAATAAGACAATTTTTTTTTCTTGTAACTACTATCTAATAAACTATATGTCAAGATTTGGCTAATTTAATGATTAAGAGATAGAAGGAAGAGTTATTTTCTACCAACGTACTGGGAAATTAGTTACAGTAAAACTCTTCATTACAAAAACTTTCTAGTTAGAGTAATTACTAGAAAGATAAAGTTAAAAACCATTTATTATAAATTCATCATGAACTAGAAAGTCAAGACCCAAGAATGTAACCTCTGCATCCGAGTTGTTCGTGTTCAATGCATGTAAATGGTCATGGGTGTGTATTTCTCTTCCAAGGCATTCATTTTCAAATGTGCTTTCGAAATGTAAATTCTTCCTTAGGATTCATCTGTCTTCAGATGAGATGGTGTCTTTTGATTGGTTTTATGCTTGTAATCAATTTCTTTGCTTGGTGGCATAAAAATTGGAAATCTTGTGTTTAATCCTTGTTTGATTTTCATTAATTTTTTGGCATATATCTCTAACATCGTCATGCAAATTGCTATCCTATTGCAGTTACAGGTCGTGTGACAACTAAGGTTGATGTGTTCAGCTTTGGAGTAATACTGATGGAGCTGATGACAGGAAGAAAAGCGCTTGATGAAACCCAACCAGAGGATAGCATGCACCTTGTAACATGGTTCCGCAGAATGTCCATAAATAAGGACTCATTCCGCAAGGCCATTGACCCCACAATTGAGCTCAATGAGGAAACGCTAGCCAGTATTCACACCGTAGCCGAGTTAGCAGGCCACTGCTGCGCAAGGGAGCCATATCAAAGACCTGACATGGGTCATGCTGTTAATGTGCTTTCTTCTCTTGTGGAACTCTGGAAACCATCTGATCTAAACTCCGAAGATATATATGGCATTGACCTTGACATGTCCTTACCACAAGCACTTAAGAAGTGGCAGGCTTATGAAGGTAGAAGTCAAATGGAGTCTTCTTCTTCCTCCTCTCTTCTTCCAAGCTTGGATAACACACAAACAAGTATACCTACACGCCCTTATGGATTTGCTGATTCTTTCACGTCAGCAGATGGTAGGTGATCATGCTTGCTTGTAAATATTTGTAAGGTGTTTCTTACTTTCTTTAGTGTGTATGTTTATTCCCAAGTCCTTGCTTCTTGCTGGCTTTTCTTTGTGCACTTGTTTATCATTTTCATGGTGTAGTTCTCCTCCTTGATTAATTTACACCATATTTAGCACTTGTTGAGGACTTTTGCTGACAAGCTGGGAAGAGATTCTCAGCTGAGGATGTATTTTCATCATCTCACATTCATGTTTTTGCCCACCTTTGAGTTAATTTTGAGATGTGTAAATCAAATATCACTCTTGAGCTTCCATTTAGTAGCTTTAGCTTGTAGTGTGATTAGTATGTTATAATTACATTGATTACACTCGTTGAACCAATTTGGTTGCAAGTTGTAGTACATGCATGTAGTAGATGACAAATGAAACATGAGGATCAGCACAACAACTGGCACCACTTTGAAAATCCACAACTTGAATTTGTATCATTTTATGAGAGGGAGATTTGAAAATAATGAGAATAGAACTTTATGGGTACGTGCCACAAGTTGCTATCATATCGATGTTGCGGGGAATCTGGCGTTTATGAAGCAGTTTTGGATGAACATGAATTTGTGAAATGGACAAAATAGACAGGTGAGGTAGTAGTTATATAGAGAGAATCAAATGTTATTTGCTGCTGCATGCCTCGTTGTAAAAAGGTGACAGTGTGGCAAAAGGCAAGTGCAAGTTAAGCCAAAAGGATGTGTCTGTCAAACCTTTCCAACTGTCTTCCACAACTCACTTTATCGTTTCTTATATGTTAAGTTTTAATTTAACGTTAGAAAAAACCAGAAAGCATAAACAAAGATGAAGGGCCCTTTTAGCCTTTTAAGTTCACACCTGGTTATTATTACAATGATTAAAATATATGGATTAATTAGCTTTGAAGACTTTAGAGGTAGTTAATGGAGTATTTTAATTTTTAAGCTATCAGATACGTAATAAATATGACAATTAGCTAATCATAATATATTCATAATTAGTAAGCTGCGCGTAAGCCAATCTCAATCAAATAATATCTCAATGAAATAATCATCAAGCTATAGTTAATTTTTAGGATTATTAACCAATTTCTTATTAGGTTTTGCGTTAAATGCAATTGCATTCCTGTCTACTTAAGACTACTTTGTGTGCCCTGTACATAAAATGTATGGAACTAAAAAATATTAAAATGCCCGAAGTTTATAAATTTAACTTTCATATATTAAACATGAATGTGAGTATGTTTAAGAGTTTTTTTAAGAACTTTTAGGAATTTTTTAATTTTATTTAATTTTTATGTATCATAATTATTTATAAGTTAAATTTTAATATTTTAAAATAAATTATTAACAAATAAAAATTTATGTTACATTATAATTATTTATCATAAATTTAAAATATGATTATATGTTTAAAAATATATATTTATATAAATTTTAAATATAATTTATATATTCAAACATAGAATTTATTTGTATATTAATATATTATAAATTTTAGTTATATACAATAAATATTTAACTTGTACATTGCTAAAATATTAGTATATATAAAATAAGAAAATTAAGTGTACTTTTTCAAACAAAATTGTAATTAGTATAATTTTAGCTTTTGGTATAATTTATTTTTTTAGTAGTAAAACAGTGATAAAATATTTTAAGCTAATTTTATAAATAGACTTGTCCGTTTAACATTAATAAAATATTTTTTAAAACAAAGTAAAGAATTTTGTGAAGCTTTAGAATTTTTTTTAACTTATAAGAAAATATTATAAAATTTTTATACGCGTCTTTAATCAAGAAATATTTATTTTCTTAAATTTTAAACATTCACGCACAAGAAGAACAACAAAGGTTAATCTTTTTCATAAATGCTATGTAATATCTATATCCTGTACCCTTTCGATTACTGCTACTAAAATTAATAGAGAGATACACCAAACCATATGACCAACAAAGATACACCAATTAAAGAAACGAATGGTGATTGACAAAACAGTTTAACTATCTACGCTTTATAGCATACAAATTTCGTATGCTCCATTTAATTTAAATTTTTGGTTTCAGTTCAGCTTAGCCTTTATGTCTAGTGTCTATTAAATGATCACGAGGCTTTCTTTTCATAATGCTTACTTTTCCTGTAAAAAAAAATTTGAATCCAAAACGTTACTACTACTTAACAGTAATTAAGTTTTAGTCACTGCTATGGGTAGTGATAAATATTCCAGTGATGAATAAAATAAAAACAGTAATTAAGTTTCTCGTCATTTAGATCAAACGATGTTAGTAAATAATCACGAATTCAATCAGTTTTTTTTTTTACACCAGTTCTTTTTTAATTTCAGTTAACAATCTAAAAAAAATTACTACATTCGTTAGGATATACCGAATATTACGTGATAAATAGAATTAAAAAAATGGATTACAAGACACTAAATAACATTATGCCTTCACAATCATTTTTTAAAAAATAAAATGACAAGGACATAAGAATATCGTTGGACTAGCATGGATTGTTACAAGTAATTTTCTACCAAGATTATCTCAAAAATATGTATCACACCCTTTTGCATTTAAATTAATTAGTAAAGGTCCAGTATATTTTATGAATGTTTTACATTAAATTAAAAATATTGAAGATAATATATTGATTTAATTTATAAAGGAGTGTTTTGCAGATAATTGAGAGAGAAAAAAACGAATTAAAATATAAAAAAACATATATTTGAGTTTTTAGATTAAAAAATATAAAAAACTACTCGAATTTATATAATATTATTTTTTATAGACTTGTAAATATTTTATTATATTTAATTGAAGAACTTCAAACATTATTCAAATAAATTAAGTAAATTTATTGTTTGAATGAACAATTAAATTAGGAAAATACAATTACAAAATAAATCCATTTACTAATGGAAAAATGTTAAATGTAACATTGTAAGTTGTGATAGTGTTATAATTATTTCTAATTGTTTTTATACTATTAAATTAAGTTGTTAATCAATGTTGAGAGACTCTGAAGATTGAGAATTCCCTAGGAGTTTCAGTGGTGTTGGAAAATGATGGAAACATGTTAAGGTTAAGGAATCCAAGAGGTGATACATTAAAAGAACCAAGAGGAATGAGATGATTTTGAAGACCTTTCAAATGTTTGTAAATATAGTAGTTACTTGTATAGGTTTATTTTACTTTTGTATTTGTGAGACACTTTGTTTTCTTTTTACAAACCATTGTATATTATTTTTAGGGTAGATTCTTTGGAGACTTTTACTCCAATTGACCTTGTATTAAAGGTTACTCTTTTTCTATTTTTCAGTAGTAGAAGTCGGGTGGCAATTAGCAAGGCTTGAGGGCGTGTTTAGCAATTGGGCTAGAATTGGGCCTAAGCAAAATTTTACATATTGGACTTGTTTTGCTTTATATTTTTCAAGGATTTGATTTAGCTAGGTCTCACCATTTTTGAATGGACCTAACTAAACCAAATCAACAATTTTTGAAATGGACTAAGTGAGCAAACAAGCCCAAGGCCGCCTAGCCTATTTCCTTTGTTGGACTTGCTTCTACCTTTGGTGTCTTTGGGAAACTTGTGCTACAAGCTTCTAACTTAGCTTGCTTCCCAAGCAAGATAAGATAAAAGCTTGCTCCACAAGTCTCCTAAACTAAGGTAGACGGTCAAGCTAAGCCTACCATGGTTCACTTGAACCATGGTTATAAGCTTAACTTCCTCCACAAGCCACCTACTTCTATAAATTCCTAAATCTCTCATTTATAGACACTTTTGAGTATATGAATTCAGAATTTTCACTAAAATTTTCTCTCTCAAGAGTCACAATTTCGTGGAGAAGAAGCTTCTCCCCTAAGCTTCTCAACAAAAGATTTCCTCCTTTGTTCTTTGGTTCCTCAAGTTTCTTCCTCTTTTGTATTTGTGAGACACTTTGTTTTCTTTTTACAAACCATTGTATATTATTTTTAGGGTAGATTCTTTGGAGACTTTTACTCCAATTGACCTTGTATTAAAGGTTACTCTTTTTCTATTTTTCAGTAGTAGAAGTCGGGTGGCAATTAGCAAGGCTTGAGGGCGTGTTTAGCAATTGGGCTAGAATTGGGCCTAAGCAAAATTTTACATATTGGACTTGTTTTGCTTTATATTTTTCAAGGATTTGATTTAGCTAGGTCTCACCATTTTTGAATGGACCTAACTAAACCAAATCAACAATTTTTGAAATGGACTAAGTGAGCAAACAAGCCCAAGGCCGCCTAGCCTATTTCCTTTGTTGGACTTGCTTCTACCTTTGGTGTCTTTGGGAAACTTGTGCTACAAGCTTCTAACTTAGCTTGCTTCCCAAGCAAGATAAGATAAAAGCTTGCTCCACAAGTCTCCTAAACTAAGGTAGACGGTCAAGCTAAGCCTACCATGGTTCACTTGAACCATGGTTATAAGCTTAACTTCCTCCACAAGCCACCTACTTCTATAAATTCCTAAATCTCTCATTTATAGACACTTTTGAGTATATGAATTCAGAATTTTCACTAAAATTTTCTCTCTCAAGAGTCACAATTTCGTGGAGAAGAAGCTTCTCCCCTAAGCTTCTCAACAAAAGATTTCCTCCTTTGTTCTTTGGTTCCTCAAGTTTCTTCCTCTTCAAGGAAGAAACCGAACCCCTTGTGTTGCTTCAACAAGCCTTGGAGCTTGTGTTTTATGCTTTCACCATTGTCAAGTGAAGATCTCAAGAGAAGAAGGGCGTTGAAGGAGGATCTTGGAGAGGAACATCAATCACCTCCTCGTGTACTTCCATCAGAAAAGAAGTTTCTTTAAGCAGAGATCTAGTTTAACCTCGAAGGGAAGAGTATATAAGGATTTTATTTTGAATAGAGAATGTCTAGGAGTTTTATTGTGTTGGGAAAGGAGTTTCTTTAAGCAAAGATCTAGTTTAACCTCAAAGGGAAAAATATATAAGGATTTTATTTTGAACAGAAAATGTCTTTGGTTTGCGAGCTTTCTTTTCTCTCAATCTTCTCCTTTTCTTTCTCCTTTTCAGTTTCTTTAAGTAGAGATCTAGTTTAACCTCGAAGGAAAGAGTATATAAGGATTTTATTTTGAACAGAGAATGTCTTCTCCTTTTCTTTCAATCTTCTCCTTTTCTTTCTCTTTTTGAGGGTTGGTGAATAATTTCTAAGTTGTATGTAGTGTGAAATCTCAATTATGTGTGGCTGTGTAGATGAATACGAAGTGTGAAGCATGTGGGAAGTTGGGTTTTTGACCAAAGTTATTGATTCTTTGTAAAATC